GACATCATAAAATATGTAGAAAGTTTGGATAGACTCAGAGGTATATGGTAATTTCTGGTCGAATCTTTTGAAAAGTATTCCATTGCAAACTGTACATTCAGTCAGATTTTGCTGGTCAACGTGGGTTTAAATGAAAAGTGAATCAGAGGGTAATGTTTTTTGAAAAAAAAAAAATAAAATAAATAAATAAAAAAAGTTCCCAAAATAACATACCGATCTGGGACAATAATTTTATTCTTAGCTGTTTTGTGAAAGTTTCTAAGGGAGTATAAAAAGGTTTTTTCGGGATGTTTTATAATATTGTTAACAAATTTGAAATAAAACAATAAAAAAGTAGCTAAGTTCGGCCGGCCCAACTTTTAAACCCTCCATCATTTAGAACGAACGTGGACCTGCAAAGAAAAATTTCCGCATACGCATACTCATTACGAACTTAAAAAAATAGTTCGAAAGATAGCGTGATTACCTGAGCGAAATCGGCATCAACTTTGAAGCTGGCCAATGTGTACACATTTCACATAATAAACTTGATAGATTTTTAATTAACTAGTAAGAATTAAACTATACATATAAATGTGTGCACCATCATAACATAATACATACATATGTATGTAACTCGCTATTGAAGGATTGAATCGATGCTTTTTTAAGTTTCAGAGTAAACAACAAACCAAGTTTTTTTCTATTTAATTATACATTGTTTGATTCAGAGAACGAATTTAGAACGCGATGTTGCCGTAGAGTAATGGTCGAGTTGGTTAAGAGCTACTGCTGGAGCGTGATGGGTTAGGAGTTCGATTCCCGGTGGCGACGTCTATTGTTCAAAGTATTTCACCAGAAATGGTCAAATACCTCGGAAACTATCCGAAAATTCTAAACTTTTTATGATGTCAATGGATAGTGCTCTTCATAAGCATTCCATTGATATGCATGTTGACCCGGAAGAAAGATCCTGGAAAGCGTATTGGCCAATGGAATTATCCTGTTCAAAGGATTTCACCAGAAATGGTCAAATACCTCGGAAACTATCCGAAAATTCTAAACTTTTTATGATGTCAATGGATAGTGCTTTCCATTGATATGTATGTTGACCCGGAAGAAAGATCCTGGAAGGCGTTGTGGGTTGAAAGTATGTCCTGCCAAATACGATGTGTTACTTTGTAACTTTGCAGTTTTTGTAACAATAATTTATGATGTGTAGATATGGCTATTATTTGGCCTTTTTATATAAAAAATTAATATAAATTAATATTTTTAAGAAAAAGCTATATTCGTTTGGCTCTATTAACGTTAACAGAGCGCTGTTATTTTCTATGTTAATTTCGTGGTTTGTGTCTTCGCTAGTTAAATTCGGAATTTATCTTAACAGACTTAAATGTTGACATATCAATCTTCCCAAAAGTTTATACATCTTTCTGTATTCTTATAAAATGGTTGTAAGCCAACGTTTATATCAAAGTTTAGGTCTTTTTCAAAGAAAAAAAGCTTAACTTTACATCTAATATTAGGTTCTTAAAAAATTTCATTATACCCTAATACTACGGGCCAGCAACGCGGTCCGGGTCAGCTAGTCTAATATAATTTTGTTTTTGAATTGTCAATAGATTTTATTTAGATAATTGTATGGCAGGGGTGGGAAATTATTGGCGTTGGGAATATTAAAAAAATCTTTCTCCACTAATAAACAAACGATGTTTTTATAAAAACAACAATAATGGGATTAAGCGTAAATATAAATATATAAATACTACGGCATTACGATATCACACTGTTTCTTTTAGATTTGAGTAAAAGTCAAAATACAGCAAGTGTTGACTGTTAACTGTGTTTTTTATGAATTACTACCTGGCCCAGACCGTTGCTGGTCTGTAGTTTTAGTCTTTAACGCATAGTTTTTAAAGCATAATAATTCACACATCTGGCTGACATAAGTGGCACAATTTTTAGTATAAATTATGACTCGACTAAAGAGAAATAAATATGCAATCCAAAAATGTCAATATAGGTTCACGTACTGAGCGATTCACAGTGTTTCAAAAAACCTGATCCTTTTTTCCAGCCAGAGGTTTTAATTTGAGAGTTGGAATCCCAAATAATATAGCACATTTATTAAACAGTATACATCAACAGTTTATAATAGTCCCATGTAAGATGGTTCTCTACCCCCATATTATCCTAACACACATTTTAAGCCAAATCGATTCGAAAATATAATCAAAATCCTCGAAATAGGTAAAATCAGGAGGAACCTTTATATGGGCGCTACTCCAAAACATTGAGGTGACCTAGAATGTGACCAAAACCGTAGAAATAGTTGAAATTAGCGGATGCCTTCATATGAGGGTTATACCAAAGCTTGGTCCTATACTTATAATTATTTGAAAGAATGTTTTGTTCTTTCTAAAATCTCAAATAACCAACATTTAAGGAATTAAAAAAGGGCTATATCACAATGCTGACCAACATGAAACATATTTTGTACAAATGATTCTTTATGTAACCCATAGGTCTGCATCAAATTTAAAACTCTATCTTAAATTTTGCGTAGTATAGAGGAAAATATTTGAGGCCCTTTGTGTATGTTTAAGTTATATAAAATGGACCCTAAAAAGTTTGACCCGGGAACTCCCATTTTTGGATTTTTATCTACCAATCGAAAAATTGCCCAGCCTCATGATTGTCTAGGGCGCAGTGTAATTACTGATGATAGCACATAGTCCCCGTTTGACGTTACCTATAAGTTAAGGTTACGGGTTCGTTTAAGTGTTCGGAAGGATTTTCCGATGATATGAATCTTCTTCTTACTGAATTTTCAATTCGCTCCACTATTTTGTACAGTACGCATATTACATTGCCTCTTCATATTCGGTAGTTCACTGATTGCAGTCCCAATGAATTTTGCATTGGATGGATTATTTTCATATCTAGTCAATTTTTTGAAGTTTCCGACTTCAGGATCGATAGTAATTTCTAAATAGAAATCCTGGAAATATGACTTTAATTTAACTATTATAAATAAGGTGTCATCGGAGCTTTTGAATGTTTTGATGCTTCGAGAAGTATTTTTTAATCAAAATTGAACATTTTTTTATGGCAACCATATAACGGCATGTACACAAAATAGGCAAAATTTCTCGGGTTTTTTCAATAAGAATTTTCAATTCCAAAACGCATTCTGAAACAATTCTACACAAAATTCCATATCCAAATAGAACAGTTAATACAGTTCTGCAAATTTTCTAGAGACTTTCCTCAAAATTTTCTTTCTTGAAAACATTTTCAGTGTAATTACAAATATCCGAAAGAAAATATGAGTTAAATCGGGCCAGGTATCCTCAACTGAAGTCTTACTAAGCTTTTTTTTTAAATTTTTACATATAGATCGAAAAACGTGGGTGTGGGCAGCTCCTCTGACCCACACAGATACCTAGGCTTGGAGTAAGAGTCAAGATTACGTTGTATACTAACTGTGGAGCAGATATCTTCATTATTTTGGCAAATAGGATTTTAGGTAAATCGAAAAATGGACGTAAAATTGGGCGTGGTCACTTTTTCTTTGCATATAAACCTAACTCGTGGTAGATGTTCCAGCCGTTTTATACTGATAAAATTAATAACGAACAACAATTGGTTATTATATATATATATAGCTTAGAAGTATGCGTGGTCAGTTCCTCAGCCCCAACGTCAACAGTGTCTCGTGTAATAATTTTCAAATCGATATCTTCATTATCTGGCTAATATAAAGATTTTAGATAAATCAAAATAGTGAGCGTAAAAGTAGGCGTGGTCAATATTTTTTTCTTTACAAACCTAACTCGGGTATGACGAACGTTTGTACAAAAAAATATGGAAATCGGTCCAGCCGTTCTCAACTGATTCCATTACCAAAGAACAACAATTGATTTTTATATATATAGATCAGGGTTGGGCATATTGCACTAAATTTTTAGTGCACTAAGAATTAAATAATTAGTGGTAGTGCAATTTTTAATTCCACTACCACTAAAGGGTTAGTGGTAGTGAAAAATAAATCGCACTACCACTAACCCTTTACTGATATTTAAAAAAAATTGCACTACAGCTAAATTTTAGTGGTAGTGAAATTTTAATAGCACTACCACTAAATTTAGCGATTTTTCAAAAAAAAAATTGCACTACCACTAAATTTTAGCGAAACCAAAAAAAAAAACACTATGTATATAAGTATTATACCAGCTATAATGAAGTTTATTGAAGTGAGTAGGGGCAACAATCCAGAATAAATTGTACATATTTATAAAATTTGATTACTTTTCTAAATAGCACTAATTCAGTGCTATTTTTATGAAATACCACTAATTTAGTGCAAGTTTTTTTAAACACCACTAAATTTAGTGGTAGTGCTATTAAAATTTCACTACCACTAAAATTTAGTGGTAGTGCAATTATTTTTCAAATATCACTAAAGGGTTAGTGGTAGTGCAATTTATTTTTCACTACCACTAACCCTTTAGTGGTAGTGGAATTAAAAATTGCACTACCACTAAATGAACAGTGATAGTGAAATTATTAGTGCACTAAAAATACAGCGCATTATGCCCATCTCTGATATAGATAAGTAAATGATTAGCACAGCAGCAGGCTTTTTTTGAAGGAAATGTGATTTATTTATATATTTATTAGATTTGAGTAAAAATAAAAAAAGCTTGTTTTTTTTCAACATACATCAACAGCCCGTAAAATTAAATAAATAAAAACAATGAATATTACTCTTCAAAGTAAGCCGAAACATTTTTATGTGTTTTGGAATTGAAGCAATTATTTAAGCTCTGTTCAAGGTAAGATATTAATTGAACGCATAATGCGACAAAAAAATACAAATCTATAATAGCGGTTCTTTCATAAAAAAAAAACTTTGAATCAACCTTGGATTTGGCTGCTCAATGCATGGTAACAAATTTTATCATATATAAGTCGTTATATATAACTCTCTTTTAAATCATTGGTTTACTTTTTACCTGTTTCTTTGTTGATTTCGAAGAAACCTTCAGGATTCCCTGAAACAATCTTATAAGATATTTTGGTTAATTTGTTAATATCATCATCAGTTGCGTTCAGTCTTATTATGAGCGTGTGTGCGTTACTTCCTTCAAATATATGCGGATAGTAAACTGGCTGAGATGTTAAGGGAACATTGTCATTTACGTCCTCTACTTCAATAAACACCTATGGAATAAATGGTATATTAATATTTATTTTTTGATAAATTCCTAATTCATAAATACCTGTGTACAACTGAATAATGGCACTACAGCTTGATCCTGGGCGCATACAGTGAGCCAGTAAAAATTTTTACTTTCTGCATCCAAGTGAGAAAGTGTACGAATTGATCCTTTAAATATTGGCAAAGAATACATTAGTCACAGTGAAACATTTAGAATATGTTTGGTTATACCTTTGTCGGTTATTGAAAAAATTCCCATTCCATCTCCACCTCGAATATAATAAGATATGTCGGATTCTGGACCTTTGGTGTCAAGGTCCTTAGCTGTTACACTGCGTACAATTGAACCTTTTGGCTCATTTTCTTTAATTTTCCCTATATATACGTAGTCATCGAATTCTGGAGCATATCGATTTTCATTTACATCAATTATTTCTATAACAACTGGCATATCAGAGGATAACGATGGCGTTCCACAATCTACTGCAGTAACTACGAGGTTATAAATTTGTTGTTTTTCATAATCTAAGTAATTCTGTGTCATTATAATCCCGCTGTATTTATCAATTTTGAAAGTAGATGAATTTGTCGTGTCATCTTTAATCGAAAAAAGTATTTCCGAATTTATACCTATATCGAAATCATTTGCTTCTACTTTAGCTACCACTGTACCTCTAGGAAGATCTTCACGGACTTTGAAAATTATTTCCTGGATCCCAAATACAGGAGCATTGTCGTTAACATCGTCAACAATTATGGAAACAAGTGCTTCCGCCGAAAGAGACGGAACACCTCCATCCTTGGCAAAGATTTGTAGTTCATACTCATTTTGCTTTTCCCGATCAAGCAAGTTTATTAAAAATAAACAACCTGTAGTGGAATTTATAGCAAAATTCCTCGTGTCAGACTTTATTCCATAGGAAATCTGGGCATTAACAGTTGCATCGGCATCCGTGGCATTTAGACAGAATACTTGGCTCTCGTTTTTAGTATTTTCAGGCAGATGAAGTCTAATAATAGGCTTTTGGAATATTGGTGGGTTGTCATTGACGTCTAAAATATTCACGCTTAACATTTTTGAATCACTCTTGGGAGGTTGCCCAAGATCGCGCACTGTTATATTCAAAACATAATCTTCCTGGCGCTCTCGATCCAAGTATCCAATTAGTTGAAGTTCTCCACTGTCGGGGTCCACTCTAAAAACTGATTCAAAGTCGCCATCGGAAATACCGAACACTAATTTTCCATTATATCCCAAGTCTCGGTCCTTCGCTCTAAACCGCGTAATCGTTTCTCCTAAGGGAAGACTTTCGTTTACATTCAATGTTAATGGAAAATCAATAAATTCTGGTTTGTGTACATTTTGTCCATATCTGTTTGTAAGCGTAAAGTACCCGTTACTTTCTATTTCGTTATTGGTTTTCATATTGTTTTTTTCCGAAGCAGCTAATATATCAGCCAACTTTTTTGCCACTCCTGTTTCATGACACTCGAAACTACTATAACCATTCTTTAATGCATCCGAATGTTCGATCCTTAAGAGGTCTATTTTGATCATCATCTCGTCCGAAAAGTGTGTTCCGTCCGTTGCAGATACGTTAATGTAACGATGAGAGACTGGAATGTCATTAAGATCACATCCAATTGTTATAACGCCAGTAATTGAATCCATATTAAAACAGCCATCTTCGTTACCAGAAATTAGACGATACGTTATATAATCGCCAACATCAAAATCTATTGCTGATAATGTGAATATATCGGTGCCTATAGGAGCCTGTCGAAAAACTTTTCCAAGACAGTCGACACGTTCAAATTGAGGTCTGTTGTCATTTATATCATTTATGTTAACAAAAACCTCCATTTCAGTCTGCCTTCGGTAAGGAAGTCCCCAATCCGATGCTCTGACTTTTAACTGGTATGATCGTCTCATTACCTCAAAATCAATTAAAGTTGTTGTTCGTATAACTCCGCTAAAATGATCGATGTCGAAGGGCATATCATAGAGATTCGTAATACTATACGAAATATATGAATTTTCTCCGCTATCTTTGTCCCTTGCAAGAACTTTCGTTACGTAAGTTCCTGCCTTTTCATTCTCATTTATATAAACTGTTATATTTTTCTGCTCAAAAATTGGATCATTGTCATTTACATCCAGTACATTAATTTTTACTTTCGCTGATGATTGTTTTCGAACTCCTAAATTTGCTTGATCGATGGCAGAGACAGTAAGCGTGTAAAAGGCAGTTTTTTCAGCATCCAAATACTTTTGAGTATAAAGCATGCCAGTGTCCGGATTTATTTTAAATTCTCCACCTTCATTTCCTCCAACAACTTCAAGAAAAACCAATGCATTTTTTCCGAAGCTGGGATCGCTTACCTTTAAACGAATAACAGGCATATTAATAGGAGCTGTTTCTGGAATGGATACTTCATATAACGGTTTCGTGAAGACTGGAGCATTTTGTTTATCAGTATATATTGTAAAAAGTACATTTTTAGACGTATGTCTTTTCGGAATCCCGTTGTCTTCCACCCTTATCGTTATATTAAAGGTGTTAGTTGTGTTTGCTAGTACAACAAGTTTCTTCAATTGAATATAATATTCCTCTCGCGTTTTTGCTTGGGTTATTTCAAATATTCCGTCTGCATCGCCATTAACAATGGAGACATCGTTTATGTCACCGTGCCTGCCACTATCTTTATCTGAAACCCGAATTATTCCATAAATATTCCTGTTGGCATCAGTAGTTTCATGGATAACAATACTGGAAACAGTCGTGACGTATACATCTGGCGAATGAAGGTTAGTCTGTAAGCAAAACAGCAGTGATATTGGTTATAATATAATTTATAATTGTATAATTTATATATTTTTTTATTTTGTACTGTTTGCGTAGATGAGTGGAAACAAAAACAAAACTGAAATATACTCTGCTGGATGATGCAACATAGGAAACGAAACAGTACAAACCCCTTAAAAACGTTTCCCTGTATATTAACTGATTGCAAATAATGTACAAATTAATATTATGTTAAATTCATTCCTTTTTATTAATTCACTAGCTGGCCCAGACCGAGTTGCCGGTCAGTAGTTTTAGTCTTTAACGCATAGTTTTTAAAGCATAATAATTCACACATCTGGCTGACATAAGTGGCACAATTTTTGGTATAAATGATGACTCGACTAAAGAGAAATAAATATGCAGTTCAAAAATGTCGGTATATGCCACGTACCGTGCGATTCATAGTGTTTCAAAAAACCTGATCCTTTTTCCAGCCAGAGGTTTTAATTTGAGAGTTGGAATCCCAAATAATATAGCACATTCATTATACATCAACTGTTTGTAATAGTCCCATGTAAGATGGTTCTCTACCCTATATTATCCTAACACACATTTTAAGCCAAATCGATTCGAAAATATAATCAAAACCCTCGAAATAGGTGAAATCAGGAGGAACCTTTATATGGGCGGTACTCCAAAACATTGAGGTGACCTAGAATATGACCAAGACCCTGGAAATAGTTGAAATAAGTGGATGCCTTCATATAAGGGTTGTACCAAAGCTTGGTCCTATACTTATAATTATTTGAAATAATGTTTTGTTCTTTCTAAAATCTCAAATAACCAACATTTAAGGAATTAAAAAAGGGCTATATCACAATGCAGACCAACATGAAACATATTTTCTACAAATGATTCTTTATGTAACCCATAGGACTGCATCAAATTTAAAACTCTATCTTAAATTTTGCGTAGTATAGAGGAAAATATTTGAGGCCCTTTGTGTATGTTTAAGTTATATAAAATGGACCCTAAAAAAGTTTGACCCGGGAACCCCCCTTTTTGGATTTTTATCTACCAACCGAAAAATTGCCCAGCCTCATGATTGTCTAGGGCGCAGTGTAATTACTGATGATAGCACATAGTCCCCGTTTGACGTTACCTATAAGTTAAGGTTACGGGTTCGTTTAAGTGTTCGGAAGGATTTTCCGATGATATGAATCTTTTTCTTACTAAATTTTCAATTCGCTCCACTATTTTGAACAGTACGCATATTACATTGCCTCTTCATATTCGGTAGTTCACTGATTGCAGTCCCAATGAATTTTGCATTGGATGGATTATTTTCATATGTAGTCAATTTTATGAAGTTTCCGATAGCAATTTCTAAATAGAAATCCTGGAAATATGACTTTAATTTAACTATTATAAATAAGGTGCATCGGTTTATAAAAGTTAGGGACCCCATAAATTATGTTAAAAAAGTAGAAATCTTTGTCGATTAAATTATGGCATGTTTTTGTTACAATTTCTACCGAATGAACTCTAATTTGACATTTAATGTTTTGAGTATTGTGAAATCAATACCGGCAATAACTGTTTAAAAGCGCGTTGAGCTTTTAAATGTTTTGATGCTTCGAGAAGTATTTTTTAATCAAAATTGAACATTTTATTATGGCAACCATATAACGGCATGTACACAAAATAGGCAACATTTCTCGGGTTTTTTCAATAAAAATTTTCAATTCCAAAACGCATTCTGAAACAATTCTACACAAAATTCCATATCCAAATAGAACAGTTAATACAGTTCTGCAAATTTTCTAGAGACTTTTCTCAAAATTTTCTTTTTTGAAAACGTTTTCAGTGTAATTACAAATAACCAAAAGATAATATGAGTTAAGTCGGTCCAGTTATCCTCAACTGAAGTTTTACTATGCTTTTTTAAAATTTTTACACATAGATCTTAAAAAGTGGGTGTGGGCAGCTCCTCTGACCCACACAGATACCTAGGCTTGGAGTGAGAGTCAAGATTACGTTGTATACTAACTGTGGAGCAGATATCTTCATTATTTTGGCAAATAGGATTTTAGGTAAATCGAAAAATGGACGTCAAATTGGGCGTGGTCACTTTTTCTTTGCATAAAAACGTAACTCGTGGTAGGACGAACATTAAAAAAATATACCAATCGTTCCAGCCGTTCTCCACTGATTCAATTACCAACGAACAACAATTGGTTATTATATAAATAGATTAGAAGTATGTGTGGTCAGTTCCTCAGCCCCAACGTCAACAGTGTCTCGTGTAATAATTTTCAAATCGATATCTTCATTATCTGGCTAATATAAAGATTTTAGATAAATCAAAATAGTGATCGTAAAAGTAGGCGTGGTCAATATTTTTTTTTTAAACCTAACTCGGGTATGACGAACGTTTGTACAAAAAATTATGCAAATCGGTCCAGCCGTTTTCAACTGATTCCATTACCAACAAACAACAATTGATTTTTATATATATAGAGTATGCATACAGTGGAAAAAAATCGTTTGGCACCGCAAACGTTTGGAAACGTTTCCTAGTGATTCGTTCAAACGATACAGTTCGGCAACACGCAGCCAAAATTCTTTAAGGCAAGCGTAATGTTTGTGTACGTCTGACATCGAAAAGTTTGTGGTTTTGTTTTGTTTTGTTTGAAGTACAAAACGATTGAAAACCCAGTAAAGAAAGTCTTAAAGTCGGGCGGGCCGACTTTATGATACCCTACACCACTTTGCTAATTTAGTAGAGCTGCACATAACAATTAAAAGTTTTTATGGGAGAATTCAAACATACACGCTATGATTATAATTATAATTTAAAGTTCAAAGGACTAAACATGCCGAAGAATTTGTATCTTTTAAATTCGGATTTGTATTGACCATTTGGTGCACAATTAATTTGAAATCGGATAAAGATATATGTGGGAGCTATATCCAAATCTGAACCGATCTCGGTAAAATATGGCAAAGGTATTTCTGAGCTGTATTTGATATATTTCCCTGAATATCGTTGTTACGGAGTGCATATTACTGTTGTGGGTAACAAATATAAAAAATCGGATGAACAATATATATGGGAGCTATCTGAACCGATCTTCACCAAATTTGACATACTTGCTTCTGGACTCAATTCGGTCGTAAGTGCCAAATTCCATCCCATTTGGACAAATATTAGACGTTTGGTGCACAATAAAAGGTAAATCGGACGAAGTTATATATGGGAGCAATATCCAAATCTTAATCGATCTCCATAAAATTGAGCAAATGTATTTCTGAGCTGTATTTGCTATATTTCCCCAAATATTGTTGTTACAGAGTGCATATTACGGCAGCGGAGGCCAAAAATAACAAATGGGATGAACAATATATATGGGAGCTATAGCTATATCTGAACCGATTTTGGCATATTTATTTTAAGTCCTAATTTGGTTGTATGCGTAAAATTCCATACTATTCGGGCTGATATTACACGTTTGGTGCACAATTAAAGGCAAATTGGACGAAGATATATATGGGAGCTATATCTAAATTTTTACCGATTATCTCCAATTTCAATAGGATTCGTCCTTGGGCCAAACAAATGATCTGTGCAAAATTTCATCTGGATAGGGCGATAAATGCGATCTGTACTTTGTTTACAAAAATACATGGACAGACAGACGGACGGACGGACATGCATAAATCGACTCAGAATGTGATTCTATGCAGATCATCAAAAGGAACTATGGGTCTATCTCGTTTCCTTTTGTTACAAACAAATGCACAAAGACATAATACCCTGACCACTTTGTGGTGTAGGGTATAAAAATAAAAGTTTGTGACTTCGTGTGAGCGGTACGTTATTCGTTTCGTTTTTTCGCTCGTTACTTCCGATATTCGGCATCTTAATAATTTTAGTAATATTTTAAACGGAATTAGTACCTCTCTATATTCAATATTTTAATGATTTTTGAACAATTTTTTCAACGGAATTGTTCCCAATTTGATATTCGTATTTTATAACAGATTTTACCTCTTGTGGGTGAACATAGTCTGTGAAGGTCCACGTTTTACTACAGCATCCATATAACGGTACCTTCGAGTATTAAATCGTCGAAATACTGGGCGATTTAAGCCACATTTTCTAAAGAAATTTTCTAAAATCTTGTATTTGTAGTTCGTAATAGATTCTAGCTCCGGTGGCAGAATATTGTCTATAGAGGTCCATTTTATTTTAGAGCCCCAGTAAAACGATACCTGCAGATATTTTGATGATCCTACATTTACGTATCTTAACAAATTACTGAGATGAAAATGGTAAGTGGGGTTGGCGTTGGAAAGTAAACTGCATGGAAAATGCTGAAATGTATAAAAACTATGATAGATGCACTATTGAGCTGTTAAAATTATTTCAGTGACAGCTGATTATATTGTTTACAAGCGTACAAAAGCATTTTGGTGAGAATTTTCCAGAAAAAAAAAGTTATTCGTGATGGAATTGAAGCATGATAGTGTGATTTCTTTATATTTGGCTGGAAAACCGTAAGTGGCTATCGTTAAATCACTCCAGCATTTAAATGTGAACAAATCTTAATTGCCAGCCAATACATATTTTTTATAATTATTCCTTTTTCATAAAAAGATGTAGTCGTTTTGTCTTCAGATTTTAGAAGGTTTTACAAAGGATAAATTATTTTTCTGGCTTTACTCAAATTTTGGTTTTTTATAGACAATTTTTGTAATCTTTCCTTCCATTCATTGAGAATCAAAATACAAAATAATAAGTTTGTAAAAAACATTTCCTAATTAATATTAGGAAATGCCATTATTTTATTTATTTTATTTATTTATTTTCAATTAGTACAGAAACCTAGCCAACAGGGCCATGGACGGTTCAAAAAACTTCTATACATGACTACTCTAAAATTATTATAATATCCTTAATCCTAAAAGAATTACTTAAAATTAAACACTAAAACAAATTAACAAAAAATGAATAAAATTAACA